CTGTAAATTTTGCATTCTTTGTGTCCAGTATCAGTGCACATCCTTCTTTCCAAGATTTGCTACTCTCCCCCCAGGTCTGAGATCACTGAAGCATGTCAAGCATGGACAGCACTTAGAGCTTGTTAGTTGCCCACTGTTTCACAGACTAAATATGCCTTTTTGTTGCTTAGGATTGAAAGCATAGAAGACTAAGCATCAGAGCACATCCTTTTGCAGCAATGCAAAGGGCCGGCCCGGCTGGGCCGCTGCAATGAAACTGCAACATTAATGTTCAGTGATGGTGACTGTGCTGTATCCATCCCCACAAAGAACTGATCCTCTGTTTTCCCCACTGGCTGAGTAGAAAGAGGTTCAGGTGGCTGGCCACAACTTTCAGCGTGGAGCCCGGCGCTGGCAAAGCCAAGGGCGTCACTTGCTGCTCATGCTGACTGCGGCGGGTGCCAGCTACTCTCGCCTGACGACGCCATATCTCCTCCCTGCTGCCCGCTGCCCGCTGCCCACTCCCCCCTCCCCCTTCTGGCCCCTTCAGTACCTGGAAAATGTCACTTTCGCCCCGCCACTCTGTGGCACCGCCCGCCCTCGCCTTGGGGTGACGGCCAGGAAGAGGCGGAGGATCCGGCGGGAGGAGAGCCCGCACCTACTCCTCCCAGCAGGCCGCGGGCCGGGAAGGGGCGGGCGAGCTCTCCCGGAACCGGGCGAGCTTTCCTGGAACCAGCCGCCCTCCCACGGCGGCCGCCGGCCTGTTCTGTCCGAGGGCTAAGCGTGCAGGGAACTGTCCGCCATGTCATCGGTGGCCGCCGCTAGCTGCGACGGCAAGGGCGCGGGGGAGGCGGGGGAGGAGAAGAAGCCGCTGAAACCCTGCTGCGCCTGCCCCGAGACCAAGAAGGCGCGGGACGCCTGGTAGGGACCCGATCCTGAGCTCCCCGCGGTGGCCCCTCCGCGCCCGGGCGTTCTCCCTGCTGCCAGTATGTGCCCTGCCCCGCCGGGATTCCCTCCTGGCTCGCCTGCTCCTCCTTTCCAGGAGTTTCTGCCCCCTGCCAGCGCGCGCCCGGCAGTCTGGGAGCTCTCCCCACCTCGGACGGAGGGTGTAGGAGCATCCGAGGAAGGAGGGAGAGTGTGGTGAAGGAAACTGTCTTAAAAGGATAATTAAGAAATGAAGACGTTAAAACCTCATAGCTTGTGTTTAAAACAGGTTTCAAAGATCAGCTTTTAATGCTGCTTGTAAATCTTCACTATTGTTGATTGAAGCAACACGTACCAGCAGGTGATAACTTCTTTATTGTTCACCTGAGTATAAATTATATTCTATTTTAAATAAAGCAAAATGCTGTGGTTGTTTTGAGTCTCAGAGGATGACATTTCCCAGAGAAGTTCAAAATTTGACAGCGACTTGCGTAGCTGCATTGGCTAATTATAGGCTTAGTCATCATCATAGGACCTGTAAAATAGTAGGAAGTGCACACTTAAAATGGAGCGCTTTTTTTTTTTTACTTTGCTGGTGATACAGATGGTGTTTGGTAGGTGACATAATACTGAATACTGTTTTTGCTAAATTTAGGGAAACATGTCTAATTACATGGTAGAGTGAAGGTGAATCTAGAGAAAAGGGCGGTAGGATGGATGTTACTGGTCAGATGGAGTTGCCCTGGGCAGCCAGGGGACGTGTCCGTGCTCATTTTAATAAAACCTAAGAAGAAAACTAAACAGCTTTGTCATTCAGTCAAAAAGCAAGTCTGAACTGCTTTTGTGGTATACATGATATACCAAAAATGAGAGGCTCTTACTGGGATGGATGAGTAACATCAAAAGTTACCATATATAGTGAATAACTTTGTCAACAATAGCTGGATAGGCGGTGTATTTTGTTTTGCTTTTTGCTTCAGGGTCCTTAAATTGCAGCTGAAGTTGGACTAAAATATCATTTACTGTTTAACCTGTTCTGTATTGGTCTCTTACTGTAGAAATTGTGTTGCTTCCCTACTGAATAATTTGAAACTGGCAAGCTCAGTGTACTTTATGATGTGACAGCCTTGTGTTCTATAACAAATCCCCATCCGGACTTGACCAGAATAGATCCTGGCCTGTTAATAGGAAGTTGTGTTATGACTGTTGTCAGAGTTTTAGGTGTACAGCTCCAGATTTGGGTAACTTTTTGGGATAGTTTCATACTGTCCAAAGCAGCATTACCCTGGACAGGATACACACAAAAAAACACCTCTGGATCCTAATAGGGATTTTTTAGTTTACCCCAACAGTTTGTCAGTTCTATTTCTTTGACTAAAAGTAAGTGAACATTTTATTGCTGAACCCTGGAAATCTTTTTGTTTTGCTTTGCAGCATTATTGAGAAGGGAGAAGAAAATTGTGGGCACCTAATTGAAGCTCACAAAGAGTGTATGAGAGCTCTGGGCTTCAAGATATGAGTGAGATGAGCAGGACTAAGTGGGGTGAGTACAGCCTTGAGGACCTCTACCTCTGAAGTGCCCTGGCACGTCAGCTGGTGCCATTGGAAGACCCAGAGTACTGTTCATGATGGTGTTGCCCCTACGAGAGAAGGCAGAGCAGTCCTTATTGACATTACAGCTACATTGCTGTCCTGTGAGGGTGATGAAACCGTTGGCAGTACACAGCCTTTGTGAGTCACCCTTCAGCAGTAGAGAATGCTGCCACCTCTATTGTCTTCTCAGAGATCCAAACCTCAGTTTAGATTTCTGGTGCTAGGGCACATGAGAGTTGTTTTTTGTTGGTGTGTCATGGGGTTTTGTTGTTGATTGTTGAACTGTTGCTCAATATCCAGTCGAAATCCATGTTTTGTGAAGCTACGTTTCCTTTCTCTTCTAGATGATGTCTTTGGTGTGACTGTGTTCTGGAAATCCGCAAAATAAATTATGTCTGCAAGTTACTTCAAAGAACAAATATAAACAAAAATCCTATTTATAAAGAGTCTTTAATGATAGAGTATGCATCACATCTGTAGCTTTTCCACTGTATGCTCTTGACCACTGCTATAGAAAATATATTTTTCCTCTTAATAAAAGCCTGAAAATGACCAATGTTCCTGACTTCTGTTTCTTTTTAAGTAAAGAAATGACAGGGCCCTCCTTATTGAAAACAGCGTGCTGCAGGAGTGAGAGAATGAGAAAAACCTGTGTGATTATTAACATAGGAACACTGATTACTGTGGTGGTGTGGTTGAACAGAGACGACTTTGGTGGGTTTTCCCACTGATGCAAATCGTGAAATGGTAGTAGCATTGCACTCGTACAGCTTTCAGCAGTCATGGTGAAGCTTGTAGTGCTATTCGTGACAGTAGCTGTAACTATGTTTGTACAAAGGCGAATGCAGTCTTATGAAATTAACTTCGTTTGAGTCAAAACTGTATTTGATTTCCCTATGTTCGAATTCTTCTGATGGTTTTTGGATATTGTTACCCGAGCTTCATTCTTTATAATGAAAAATCAGGTACTTCCCATCTCAAACTCTCTTGAGCCAGTAGTTCTTCAAGGGAAAGGGAGCAGAGGATTGTTCCCTGTCACTGCAAGTGACTTTTTTGTACGGGTTACTTGCCTGAAAGTAAAGCTTTTTTTATGCTGAGTTTTTGTTGTGTTGGTCTTGTGCTATGGACACATGGGCTTTTGTTTTCTGGCTCCTTTTTTCACTTGTATGAGATGATAATGGGAGGGTAGTTGTTGCCTTTGATTCCTCCTTACCATCTAGAGAAACATTAGGTGCAATTTCTAGTTTGTTACAGGTGGGGCTTCATACTATGTATTTGTGCAATTCTAATGTTACTCTTCCTGTAGTGAGTTGACTTTCCTGAAGATGATATCTCTGTGAGATTTGGGACTGATAATCTCTGTGTTGTGTGGCTATCAAGGACAGAGGATTTATTTGCCAAACATAGTGCAGGCTGTACCTTCATTGCATCATCACATGCAGCTAAATATTAAGTGCTACTGGTTGAGTCCATTTTAAGTGGGGAAATCAGTGAAGTACCTGTTTCCATATTGCCTGTTTCAGTGCTGAAAAGCTTGACATGTCTGTTTTTCTTCTTCACAAACACATTTTGTAGTAATGCTTATTTGTTTACTTCCAGGGAAGGATCTTAATTCTGCTCAGGTGTTTTCTATGTTTTTTGCCATCTTCATTCCATATAGTTTTCAACTTTGGTATGTCACTTTCCCATTGAATCAGTATATAAAATGTCTCTTTGGTAATAAGAGGGTTTTTTCACTTTTGTTGGGTAGAAAACTGAAAGTTCTGTGAAGATGATCTGTATGGCCATGGTACTGTCAAGGGAGAAAGGAAGATTTATTCTTGGTGGTTCAACCACTTTACAAATCTTCCTTTTAGAAATCTGAGTCTGAAAACACTAAGTTAATCTCTAGTGTGTGCTCCGAGATCTGTCTTTTACACTGCTGTATCATTCACTCTCCAGTGTCACATTGGGACCCAGCAGAAAAGTTGTGTAGCTTCTAATGAGAGCTTTGTACTGTTATTGCTGTGGGTTGAAAGCTTCCTGTCTGCCTTTCACTGAGAAATCACAACAGGTCATCCTCACCCATGATACTGGCTTCAGCATCACTGCAACGCCACTGTTTATGTTCTGGAAGATGTCAGATGAAGGCCTTTTTTGTCCTACTGAGTCATTTACACTGTGTTCCAGTTTATTTTTTACTCAGGAATTTAACTAACTGAAGAATGAAATTATTAATTTCCTTTTTCCCCACTTTCTTTGGTGGTCCTACAAAAGGGTTTTGGTAGTATGAAAAGACAGGAGAAATTGCAAATGGTGGTTCTCAGGATGCTTCCTCTAATGTAGTTTCATTTCTACTCATAGCAGTTCATTTTTGTCTTACAGATCTAATGTAAAGTATCTTTCTCCCAAGTGCTCACAACCTTGATATCCCAACTCCCCATTTTATCATATGTCAGCCTGTCTTGGAGAGAAGGCTCCTTATGGATTTTTTTGCAGAGGCCTAAATGTAGACAAGATGTTGTCAGGATCATATAGTGAGTATATGGCAATGGTATGAAAGACAGAACCTGGATCCCAAGATTTTTATTGTGGTGCTTTAGCTATAAGATCATCTGTCCTGCTTTGCAGAGAAGGTCGAGAGAAGGTTCTTAATTTACCCGCAACTCTTGCAGATGAGTGTTGTTCTCCTTAGTTAAGGGGCCTCTGAAGACCAGGGTCCCTGTTTCACTTTACCCTTAACAGAAAGCACCTTTGTGAATGGACTGTACTCACCCTGTGCAAAGCTTAATTTGTCTTCTTTCCTTCCCACATGTCAACCTGCCAGGATGGCTCTTAGGAGCCATAAAGCTCTGTATTGCATATGGCCTCATCATTTCAGAAATAAGATTGTACTGGCCAAGACTACAATGAATTCTTTGAGGTTGCCATAAAGCATTGCTGCAGCCATGCCCGAGAGACAGTGTTATTCCAGAGCACTATTAGCTAGGATAGGTGATTAGTGTGTCTTTAATTGAATGGTGCCAGTGGGAATGGTGTTAGGCAGGGCAGCTGCAAGCTCGGCCTGAAACACAACCACCCTTGAAACCCTATCTCTACCCCACTGACCCATGCAGGCTGACTTCATCCTGTGTTGGGAGATCACATGGGTTTCATCAATGCCTGAAATGTAACTGCATCCTGGCAGTGGGGCAGATCCTGCCTGTGTGACTGATAATGTGTTACTTGAAGCAGGGGAGAAATTGCATTTATGTGTGTTTTGTGTAGCTGACCATGGCAGACTGACTTCAAAGGCTCCCTCTTGTGCCTATGTCCTGGCTTACCGGAGTAGGAAGTGTTGGCTGTCCTCTTTGGACTAAATGAAGGTCTGGGGCAGGTTCTAAATAGTTATTAAAAAAATGAGAATGTGAGATGATGTTTCTGAAGGGTGCTTCCCAGCAGAGCCTGTAATCCCTCAACTAGGATTTCCCCACAAAATGTGCTTCCAAGTGTTACACGCTCACAAAGCTTTTGGCAGGATAGTCTCATCTTCATGGTAGAAGAAACTGGGTGCCAGAGGCTTGCCATTGTATTCACAGTTTTCTAGTTTTGCAAAGCTTTTCCTTGTGCCCCTTGATCTAAAACACCCCACAAAAGTGAGCTCCCTGGTATAAGGGGAGGCTGTAATGGACCTGGAAATACTGAGAGTCAGCCTCTCTTATTTTGTTATGTCCCTGCCTCAGTTATGAGTCACAGTGGGAAAAGGGGGTGACCTTTTTTCTTTTTTGTGCTGGGTGAAAGTCTCTCTCTCGCAGGAGTGCAGAGCAGTGGAGAGCCCCATGTGTGACTGGAGCTCACCGCGATAAGGTCGTTGTTTTCCCTTCTCCTTTTCCTTCTTTGCACTGCACTGGGCTTATCTGGCTGCCTGAGTTATGTTAAGTAGTGGATACATGTTTGCTCTCCGTTCTCCTCGCTGCTTTTACTCCTTGGATTTCAATTCCAAACATGGTTATCCATTTGGGGTCTCTCTCCTTTCCACTGCCAAGAGATACACATTCCATACTCCACACCAGCTCCCTCTGCTGCTCTCTCACGGTCGCTATTCCATTTGCCGCACCGCAGGCGAGACAGACAGTGCAAGGAGATCTCTGTCTTGTCTGTGAGTTTTCCAGCTAATGGCCTCGACTCTTTTGACGGAGCTCTTTTGCCTAATGTTTGCCAGCTTCTTTTCTCACTGTTGTGGCTAAGAAGGGGGCCAGCCAACGCATTGTGAGCCACAAAGAGAAGTGAACACTTTTGGAATTTTTCCGGTGCAAAAACATTCGGCAGCACTTTTTTAGCATGTTGCTCTGAAGCGCTGCTGTGAGACCAGACAGTGCTCAAGAGGAAGAGGAGGAGGAACAGCTACTCAGCAGCTCTGGTTTCCAACCTCTGCAGCACCGTTTGTGTATGACAATTCATTTTGAGCGCAGGACGGCTGGGGAGGGAGGGGAGTGGGGAAGGATGAGCGCAAACAGCCCGTCTTGGTACCAGGCTGTTTTCTGGCCTCTGGTGTGTGATGCCTGGAAGGAGAGTATGGAGGAAGCCGCCTACCAGCTGGCCAGCTGCATTGTCCTCCTGGGTTACATGGGGGGAAGTGGCATCTTTGGGTCCCTGTATATCTTTGGCGTCCTGGCCCCAGGCTACTTCTGCTATGCTCTGTGGGGCTGGCTGAGCGCTTGTGGGCTGGATATCTTCATCTGGAACATGCTGCTGGTCCTCGCCTGCTTGCTTCAGCTGGCTTACCTGGTTTACCGGCTCCGCAGAAACACCATCCCAGAAGAGTTTGACCTCCTCTACAAGACCATGTACCTGCCCTTGCAGGTGCCCCTGGAGGTCTACAAAGAAATCGTGAAGTGCTGTGAAGAGCAGGTCCAGTCATTAGTCAGAGACCAGAATTATGCTGTGGAGGGCAAGACACCCATTGACCGCCTCTCATTGCTGCTGTCTGGCAGGTAAAGGCTACCCCAATTCTGAACAAAATCTGACAGCAAACTGCTGTGGCTTATTGTTGTATTATCACCCTCTGTAGAAACTGGGGTGAGGATTGTTTCCTTCCTCTGACAAAGATCTGAGATATGCATCGGTTTGTTGGGGAAGGGGGAAATTTGGTTTTTGGGGCGTTAGTTTTGTTTTGTTTTTCTAATTTAAGAGTATTTCAGGGAATGGTTTGCAGACTCAAGCTGCAGGCAATGAAGTGGCCAGCTCAGCCTTACCTGTGGTACTTTTGATGAATCCTTACCCCTTTGTCTGTCATTTTGAAGTGATCTTATTTCTGGTGAGAGAAGGCTGGCTGTGAGAATGTGCTTCTCAAGGCAGGAGAGCAGTGTGTCTAGACCTATGGTCTCTGGGGGTACCAGGCACACCTCTCTGATGTGAAGAGCTGTGTGCTGAGTGTGTTGAGGCCTCAGTTCACCTGCTCTCCCTGGCTAGCAGTGTTTGGGGGAAGTTCCTGTTCCCAACACCCCAACCCTCAGGGCTTTGACATTTTTCACTTTGAGCATCATTTCATCAAAAGAGTGAGTATTCTCCTGTGGTGGATCCTGCCTAATCAGGTGCCCTTCTTTCTCTGTGCTGTCAAGCATTTGTGATATTCCTTCTTCTGGACCACCAAAGAGAACCTCAGGGACCTCTAGACAGTCGCACTGGAGATTTAACTGAATTAACTCTGCTGATCAAGTACTAGCATTTGTTCACCTGAAATCCTGTGGCATGCCTTTAGCAGCATATCTACTTAATGATTTGCAAAATCCAGATGCATACAAATAGCAGTAGTGTTGGCTTCCAGTCTGCTGCCAGGAACTTGTCACTAATGTTACATAAGAATGGGAAAGGAAGATCTCTAAAATAGGAGCAGTGCTGAGCTGCAGGAGGTGTATCTTACAAGGATTTTCCTTTGGAGATACAAAGCATCACCTGGGGCTCCTGTTTCACTGCAGTGATCAATCCTCTCTGGTGAGGGAGTGTGCAAAGAAGAATGGCTGATCTTCCTTTTTTTTTTGTGTTGGTCCCTTTTCTAAGATGCGTTAAGAGCACCCTGGGTCTACCAGGATATTAAATGGCAAAGCACTGGAGAGAAATTTGGTATGTGTGTTTCCAGTAGCACTTCCCCTTACCGAACATCTCTGGTGAGCAGCTGGCTCTGAAGTTTACTATATCTGCAAATAATATTAATGGGGAAGAGTCTGTGCTGTCTTGACCTGCAATGGATAATGTGATGCTACTCTGTGAGCATGAAAGTGCTGTAACAGACAGTGACTAGTTGTTGGGCTCTCTTTTGCAATGGGCAGTATGCATCTTGGCTGGTAAAAGATGCTCCATGGAGATGGGAATGGATTTACATTTCCTAGTACCCACTCTATTGCCTTGTGAGGTCCTTGCTGACCCAGCAGAGCATTGCTGTGATGGTGGTCTCTCTTAAACTGAGCAAGTGGGGTCTTGGAAATGCAGAATATGCCTGGATCAGGAAATGTGCCTTACAATCCCTGACCCTTCCAGGCAGCATTGCCAGCTGATTAGAAGTCAAAGATAACTCCTGAAGGCAAGAATTGCCCGTGTGCATCGTACCACAGGGATACATGGTGACAGGAAAGCAAGAGGCCCCAAGTCTGGTGATGCAGAGCTATGAATAGAACTCCAGAGTGCCCTGGCATTGTCCTCGGTTCAGGCCTACGCAGGTCCTTCTCTATGCCCACAGCAGAGCTGAGTGCACATTTGACCTTGACCCTGGCAGGCAATTGTATCAAAGGTAGGCAAAAGGGATACTTAGAAGGCCAAAGAAAAAGTGAGTGGTAATGTGCAGCAAACTATGAGCTCTCAGGCTGATCTGTGAATAATCTATGAGAAATGGGCAGGAGAATTTTGGGGGATCCTGAGTGTAATGACTTCCAGTACCAAGACTGGGTATGCCCTTGTGCAATTCTGGAGACAGGAGGAAGATACAAGTACAAAGAGCCACAGCCTAGCTTAGAAGTACCTAGAAAGCAGCAGCAGTCCTGTGGGCTGAGAAGTCCCGTGTTAGGACCAAGCATTTCACCTGTGTGGGCTGTCTTTGTAGCAAGAAACAGAAAACAGATGGAGTACGGGGAAGTGGCAGCAAATAGTTTCCCACAGAAAAGGAGGGATAGTCTCATCACTAAAGCACCTGCAGCTTTCCCAAGAGGGTATGAGACACGTGTGAGACAAGTATTTCTTTCCTCCCTAGTGGGACACACTGTTTGAGCTATCAGGTTTGTATGACATCTGTTTTTGTGGCCTAAGCTTGTCTGCCTCACCTGTCCTCTACAGGATCCGAGTGTGCCAGGATGGACAATTCCTTCACTATGTCTTTCCATACCAATTCCTGGACTCTCCAGAATGGGAGTCACTGCGACCCTCTGAGGAAGGAACTTTCCAGGTAACCCCAGCTCAGCTTCGCTCCTTGATGCTTTGCTGCATGGCTGAGAAGGCGGTAGAGAGGCCTCATTATGCCATTCAAAGCTGACCAGGAATACTTCCCTTCCTGGTGGTTTGGCCAGCACAGGATTGTGTGATCAGCTGATTTAACCTCTTGTTCTGAAGACCTCAGGGCATACTCCTACTATCTGCTGATAGCAAGGAGGGTGGAGCATTGTGCTCCTTCCAGTTTATCAGAGAATCAAGATGTCAGATTGCTGGCTCTCTTCCCTTATGATGTTCTCTAGTACCTGTACTGATTCATTGCCCTGCATGCTGCTAGCAGGGTGCATTGTCCCAGCATTAAGATGGCAGCTGTGGCAATATGCAGCAGTGATGTAAATCTGTAAACATCCTGCTCCTCACAGAAGTTTCTGATGGTCATGTGTTTTGGGTGGAGAAGCAGAAAGGATGATTCACACCCAAATATGGTTCTTTCTGAGCAGAAGGATCCCCTGCTAAGAGGCCAGACCAATTCTCATTTGCAGTAACTGAAAGGATTTTGGCCTTGCTGTCAACACCCCAGTGTTTCTTTGGCTTTCCTTCTGGAAAAGATTACTTAAGCCTACATCCCTCTGTCTTTAACACACATCCCAGGATGGCCTGATACCTGTCAGTATGTCAATTCTGATTATGTTAATTAGGGCATATGAGGAGGGATTTTGCTAATCCCTTGGGAGAGTGTGACGGTCATGAGGGAATGATGCTTTCTTAGGAGAATAGCCCCAAGTAGACTTGGTTAAACCAGGGCAGCTCTCCAAATCTGCTTTCCTAGGGTCTGAAATTGGCTGATGTGGAAAGACTTATGGTGATTGCTCCTGAAAACAGTGCCATCACCAGTGATTATGGTTGCAAGAAATAGCTGCCTGTGTGACTGTGGCATAAGGCTACAGATTGTGAGCAGAAATAGGGATGTCGGACCAAGGTAATGAAGTAGAAAAGGCAACAACAGCATGGCTGTGCTAGGGCTGGTGGTATCTCATGTTTTGCACGGGTCTTCACTCTGGCAGCAGACTGCTGCTAGCTCCTTGGCTGTATTTGCTCAAGAATCTAGCAAGGTGGGTGATGGCTGCCCAGTTCTATGGGCAGGGAAATGGCTGACTGCAATGGCTGATGCAGGAACGTAACCTGCAAAGACATCCACGCCATTTTCTGAGCTGATTTCCATAGAACTGAATGTTCCCAGACTTCCTGAGGGTCTTTATCTGTGGTGAATGAGATGGCTTGGGAGCAGGCTGGTGCCAGACTGCACCAGCCCTGCCAGCACCATGCTCTGGCACCTCTCCTGCTCTGCAAAACAGGGCTGGTCAGTGAGGTCAGCTGTGCCTGGCATCAGGATGAGAGGTAGAGCCCTAGGTAGGGAAGGCCATATGCTGGGAATGCCTAAACCCCACATGTGCTTACAGAGAAGCATGAAGAAATAGCAGCTGTGTGAGACCAGCCGTCATCAGGTGTGACTTGACCAGTCCATGTACCTGGAAGGACCTTGCTCTTGGTGGCCATGCTTAACCATGGTAATGTGCTGCTTTTGGCAGCTGTTTAACCCACTAATCCCTCTCACCTGAGTAGTTAATAAAACTAAGTTATCTCAACTGTATTCCTCGCAACACAATAATTTGGTTTAAAAAGTGCATGTTGGACTCTGGGTCTTTGCTGGAGGAGGGGCATGGAAGGTTTTTCTTGCCCCATGGCTCTCTGGATTGAACAATTTCAATTCTGAGCCCACTGAAAAATGGTAGAAGCATGACTTAGTCTATGAGAATAGCTGGTTTCCTTGAGCTTTCTGCTTTGGCTGTCTGCTTCTCACAGGACTTTTGGGTTCCAGTGCCTGAAGGAGTTTGGTTTCAGGGCTGGCACATTCCCCCAGAAGGCTGAATTACAGGCTCTTGCTGATGCCGGAGCACTTATGTCGGGGGGATTCAAGGGTGAAATCTGTCTTGCTGTCTTGGTTTGGTGACAGGTTTGCTTATTGCATCTCAGTTTCTCACAAGAAGGGATCACTTTTGATCACTGCCAGAAATTGGTTAGGAAAATGAGATTCCAGTCATTTCAATTTCCCTGTGACCCTTCTTTTTACTTGTTTGGCCTGGGAAAGTTCTCAGGTTTTATCTCCTGTATTTCTTTCATCAAACAGCTGTTTGCAGGGCAATGGCATTAAGTATCAAACCCAAGGACACACACATGCAGCCAAGCCATGTTCAGCTTCCCAGTGGCTCTCTGCCATGGCGGCTGACCCAGGAGACCCCTGGGCACAGAGTGAAAGGGAGCCCCCAGGCTATTTTGGCTCTGGCACTTTTTTGCATGCCAGTGTCTCCATTACACCCGGATGTTCTTCTTTGGCCCAGGGCAGTTTGACCCTTCCTGCATTTCTGGTCTTTATTATTATTATTTATTATAATATACATTTACAGCCTATATAATGTTTTTGACTCAAATTGTTCTTGACCTACACGTAGGGGGAAAAGTCTCTCTTTGCACTGACAAAAACAGAAAGAAAATGAAACATTCTCTAAAATCAGTTGAATAAACCCTCATGAGTTTTCTACATATACGTGGACACAATAAAACGTTTTTATTTCCTCTCACTGAGCTGTATTGCACAATGTCCTTCAAGGCCATTCAGGCCTACAGAGTCCATCAGAATTGCTGAGACAGGATGTCCCTCAGGCACAGGATGACCAGGCAAGCCTTTCAGGTGGTCCTTCAACACTCAAGGCGTTCTTAGAGCAAGGCTTGTGGGGCTGTGCAATCCAGCAGCAGAGTGGGTCAGCAGCCTCCCCCACGGCTACTTGCTGGCAACTCAGACTGACTGGGCATGCAAAAATATCCCTCTCTGTAATATTTCTGTGGAGGGATAGGTATGTCTTTGCTGCCCTGTTCATTTCAGCTACATATATCTGATGTATCTGATATCTGATCGATTTCAGCTGATATATCCATCATATATCAATAGAGAGCATCATCTGAAAGCCAGAGGGTGAATCGTACCCATCCAGGTGGCTGAGTTAAATGAGGACATGCTGCTAATTGCATAGGAAAATGGGGTCTTTGTCTTCTTAGGGAGAGGAAGCAGCAGCAGGTGAGGATTTATCCAGTCATTCAACCAGGACAATCTGGCTCTCCAGCCCCACCATCTCCAAGGAGAATAGGATTCAAAGGGGCTGAGGGTATTCCCTGGAGTGAAGCATATGGCTCCAAGGTGGGTGACCCCGCCCAGGCAGTGGGACTTACTCCATTTGCTCCCTGCCCCACAGGTCACACTGACAGCCGAGACCGATTGCAGCTACATCACCTGGCCAAGGAAGAGGCTGTATCTCCTCCTGAGGAAAGACCGCTACATTGCCCGGCTCTTCTCTTCCCATCTGGGTTATGACATCTCAGAGAAGCTCTACTCCCTCAACGAAAAGCTCTTTGTCAAGTTTGGCCTTTGCTTCGACATCCGCTTGCCCAGCCTCTACCACGTCCTTGGGCCAGCCTCCTCGGAGGGGGAGTCAGAGGACTGTGAGGAGATGCTGCCTGGCTCTGGCCAGACCAGTATCTCTGAGCCGCCACTGCAGCCACCACTGGCTCTATGTCCCCGGGCATCCCAGCCTGACAGTGACCTGCTGGGTGAGGACTCCACCAGTCTTGTCTTGGAAGATTTTGCTGAGTTGCCGGGGTCTTTTATGGACTATGTGAGCGAAGGGGAGTATATGAAGTGAGGGGACTCCTGGCACGGGCAGACCTCACCCTGTGTGGGACCCTTGTGTAAGTACCCACTTGCAGAGCAAGTCTTTCCGTGATGCATCTGCCTGGACAGAGCACTGGCCTCCATTTGCCATGGGTTTGCACCTCTGCAGTGTTTCTTGGCCTACTGCCCCAAGGAATCCTAGGTGGTAGGCTCAAGCTATGTGGTTTTCCTAAGGAAATGCAGCAGGGCAGAGGCTTGACTCCATGGCTGTACTATGGGGTAGAAGGGCCAGTAACCCGGCCATAGAAAGCTCTTCCCTACCCAGTTCTCTCCCCATCCCTGAAGAGAGGCAGAAACACTGAAATGGTGTCCAGGCGGGCAGGTGGTACACAAGTGGTCATAAAAACCATGAGGTAGAACTATGCCAGGAGGTACTCCAGTATTGAGCTGAGCAAGAGCTCTGCAGGTGAGAGAGCACACATCCCAGGTGATGCTAACAGGAATAAAAACAGTGCCAGGTTTATAGCAGTTTGTTAGCAAGGAATTGCTATAAATCCTGCAAATGCTCAATCTGGGCAGGGGGAGAAAGCTCAGAGTCCTTCCTCTCCCTGTCCACCACAGCTCATCCCAGCATTTGATCTGACCTCCTTGTTTCTGCTGATATTCATCTCTGCCAGATCAGTAAGGTGTTGAAAACTCTGCCCTGGGTGCTATAGGTCTTGCCTTCAGTCACCTGAGGTGGACTGACAGGCTAAACGTTGTTTTAAGTTACCCCAAACTCTGCTTTCCAATGGGAATGGGATGCTCTCTTCCAAAATGCCAGCTCCTTACTCTACAAGAGAAAAACATTCTTGTGCCTGGTGACTGTTGAGGCAGAGGAACAATGCAGGCAAACAGAAATAGATGGGACAATGGCTTGTACTTGAAATTCAAATCCTAGTAGCCAAGAGAGAAATTCTACCCTGAGCTACTTTTAGCTAGCCACTGCATGCAGGCTGCTGCACACCAGCTGCAGACCCCAAAATGTGCATTCCTGCTGCCACCCAGAATAATCCAACTGCCAGGTACCAAGCTTGGCACTGGGATTTCTGTCCTAGAAGTGACCCCTGCGTGTGTCTCAGTTGGGTCTGCACAGCAGGGAGGAAGTTTCAGGATTGGGCTGCAGCTGGGGTGGCTGCCTTCCATCAGGCAGCCTTGAACACAGAGCAGCATTGCACCCGATCTTCTCTGTGCCTGTTTGAGTCTACTTCTACTTGTGCTGTGGACTCAGTGGCAGGGAGCATTGGCTCCTGGCATGAGCCCTGACAAGTCTGCAGTATTCTTCATATTATCCGGGATATGAAAAAAGTGGCCAGGGAAGGAACAAGTATATTTGGTTTTGGCTGAATCAGATAAAGAGTTGGGGTTCTGTTTTTGACGTTGTTTGGCTTTGTGTAGTTGGTTGTTGTTGTTTTCTTTTTTAAGGAGGCACAGAGAGAAAAAAAATAAATACACATTTGTCCTAGGAATGTGAAGCCCCTGGTTTTGCTGGTAGGTCTGCTGCAGTCATGAATTTGCAGCTTTTTCAGTCCTTAGTTGGAGAGGCAGGAACAGTGAATCACTTATGAGGCATCCATCCTCCTAGCTGTCAGAGTGTCAGTGAAAACATCGCAAGTGAATGCAGGTAGAGTTAGGAACATGAAAAAGCCACTTTGTCTGTGCTTTGATTCTCTTTTGCCTTCTCAGAAGGAGGATATCCATTCTACCATCACTGGTAGAATTCTCCTACTTGATCAAGCTCAATAAAACCAGAATTTCAAATGCAATTAAAAAGGGAAGGAGGCAAGTAATATTGTAGCTGTTTTTTAAAACAATTCCACCCATTTTTGGCAGTGAGGCAATACTGTGAACATACGCACAGGAGGTGTGTGTGTTTGGCAAAACTTTGCTACACAGCAAAAAGCTTTCTTTCACACAATCCTGTTGTGAGCTGGGAGCTGGAAGCTTTTGTCTTTCTAGATCTTGTGACTGAGACAGTGTCAAGGAGTGCTTCTATTAGCAGTAGAGACCTGCAATAAAAGCCCAGATGTTTAGAGGCTTGCATTTGAGGAAGATGATCTTCCTTGTCAGTCAGTCTGGAGACAATAGACACTGTGGTATTTTAATTCTTAAGGTAATTAGACAAGGAATCAAAAACTCTGTTTAGTATGCTCATAATGGTGGAATGAGAGCTTCCCTGTTACCCTACTTGGCACTTGTGTGTCACATCCCAGCACATCCCATCACATCCCAGTGGCACAACAGCATTGTCACATCTGGACAATATTCCACAGTGACTTGAGTGCCTCACCACAAAAACTGGTGATACAGAGGGGCTGCATCCTTTCCCTCCATCCAAACACTTGTCACAGCTCAGCAAATAATCCAAGCAGGTCTGCCGTGGCTCAGGTAAAGCACTTTCATAACTTTTTCCTACATCTGTAATAAACAAGGAAACTCCCTACATTGTCATTGTTCAGGGTAAGTCCCTGAGGTCAGAGCTCTACTGGTGCTTTCCCCTGGTCTGTGCTCTCATCTTCTTCCCCCGTAACTCCCAATGTGGCTAATCACCTTAGTACTCTAAATTCCCTGTGCTGAAGTGCTTCTGTGGGTCATGTTCCTTTTCCTTTTCTGTCACTACAACAGCCACCTTACAACACTACAGTTCAGGAGGGCTATTCTTGAATGTCCAGAGTGCTATAAAGGTCATACACAAGAAAATATTTATGGAGGATATATTGGCCTACTATTCATGTCATCTAGTTCCTTGAAAGCTTTTCTAGTCTGTTTACGAGTAAGATGGACTGTGATGTCCCACTGATGAGCACATTCTTTCTCTAAGGAGTCTGCTGCCTGTTTGAAGGAGGCAGGTTCAAAGGTTCCGTTCAGTACTTACCTTAACAGCATACTGCTGTATAGCTCCAGAGGAAACAAAGCTTTATTCCTTGCATGGAAATGTAAACAACCAAGAGCAAACTGCTTTTTCTGCTGTTCATATTGCATTTGTTCTTATTTGTTACTATGAAGTGCTTGCAGGATGTGTAGCTGTTGCTACCTGGTTTTTTACAGTTACATCTTGGGTCTGCCTTTCTATTTGGCGGGTGAGATGGGTGGATGGATGCTTGATGGTCTGCAGCTTGATATCTAATTTAGTAGTTAATGTTTTTTACCTGCTTTGAGAGTAAAGGAAAAGGAGCTGTGGGCTTTGTTTAACCAATATCACAGCGCTTTGGAAGGGTTTGTTTTTGCCATCTTGGAATGGGTGCATAACCTTGTTTTCTGATTTATCAGTTATTGAAGAACTACATAGTTCTGTATGCTCACTTAGGAGGGGAGAAGAACAGGTAATGGTGGGCTCCGTGAGGTTTGTGTCTTGGAAAAGTTTGAAAGTATTATAGTAATGGTACACTCTCTTTCTCTCTCTCTCTCTCTCTCTCTCTCTCTTTCCCCCACCCCCCTCCTCCTTTTCTTCCCTGGCCCCCTTTTCCTTCCTCCTCCACTGCATTCCTTCTGCAGCCTCTGAAAACCATCTCCAGAGTTCTCACCCTCTCTGCAAAGGACGAGCCCCTCTGGCTCCCACTCAGACCCCTGAACTCTAGGGAACAACAGACTGTTTGATCGTGAAGCCCTTCCAAGGCAGCAGATGTTCACACAGGTTTTTGACCAGACACTCTTTAGCATGCAGAGACGTCTGCTAGCAGATATCTACACTCAGGAGCACGTGAAGCACATGCTTAAGACTGCAGTGTGATACTCCAGCACCTCCTACCCCATGGCTGTTCACCGGAGCTGCCTTCTCCAGTGCAGTGTGCTTCCACCATTTGTTTTCTAGTCCTGCGTCTCTGAGGTTGTCAGCAGCTCTGTCACCAAAGTGCACCAATATCCTGCAAGCAATACCAGCCTACTTGCAGAATCTGTGTTCCCTTTGATTCAATGATTCCCATTAAATTCAGAGATAAATTCTGGTATTTGAGAATTTGAAGAGGGAGAAAACAGCTGGAGGGAGGGAGGATTTGAAGAGGGAGATCACTTAAAGTAATGTCAAGGCACAGAGTAGATAGGGCAAGGGAAAATGGACCAGCTGACAGCTTTGGCAAAGGACTTGCAATGGAGAGTTTGATGATATGCATCTCATTCGGCATCCACTCTAGTAAGACCAGAAATCATTTTTCCAGGACTTAGGATTTCTCATTTATGACAAGCACAACTTCTCAAAGAAGCTGGTGAAAAAAGACTTCTGGTTGGTTGTTTGCATTGATTCTTGAAATAGGAAAGATAATTGAAATTGGGAACACGTGTAGGCAAAAACCCTTTTCTTATGTGTGCTCAAGGGGGCGTGACCTCAGGATGTACCAACATCAAATTAAAAAAGGAATGGATACAAAACATGTGTGAAGAGAGCAGCCATTGGTAGGAAGAACAATGCCTTAATGAAAACAGTGTAGATGGAAGGCCTCATCCAAGTTCAGCTGCAACAGGATTTGTCTCATAAACTTCCCCAGCCATTTTCCTCAGTCATGGAATTGGAAGTACCTGTGGAGGAATCCTGTGTCTTGCAGAACCCTGTGCAATCTAGTTGAGCAATGGGAGTAGGAGCCACTCCAGGGCAGGTATTCAGGGAAAGAGCAAGGAATATTGGTCCTTCTGTCAGCACAGGGAAAGGTGTCCTTCAGTGCCTCTTGGCACAGACATGCTAAAGCACAGCCATTCTGTCTGTGGGGCTGACTTTGTGTCAGCACTGGGCTGGTGAAGGTAGCCCCACCTCCCCTGCCCTGCTCACACCAGGGCTGTGGTCCAGCATCTGGTTTGGCCTCTCTTGCAAGTCTCAGCAGGGCAAAACCTGTGCCTTCAGGATCCGACACTCTCACCAAGGGCCTCTGGGGTGGTGGGTATGTGCGATCTGTGATGTACACAGCTCCTTGCACTGCTTGCCTTTGCTCCCACACCAGGGCAGGAGAATTGGGCTGCTCCAGGCCTGGGAATCATCCTGCTCATGGTTGTTACCATGCTCTGTCAATACACTGGTGCTTCAGCCTGATCCCACTGCCTTTCACAGTTCGGAAATGTCTGCAGCAGATTGGCACGAGAGCTGCCAGGGTCTCTTGTGCAAAGGAACTGAAATGTACAGTGGAACTGGGTCCATCTGTTGAGGTGCTTTACACACCTCCCTGAAGCAGTGGGCCAGGCTGGGCTGAATGACACACTGTTCTTTACAGGTGTCTGCTGAACTTATACTCCAGTCTTCAAAAAGGAACTCCTGGGAAACTCTTCAGTCATGGTGCCAACTAACATAAATCCCTCTGAGGTTGTCTGTCCCCCTCCCAAGTGTGTGTTGGAGATGGTGTTTGTTAGCTGTCCTTCCAAACAGTCATAAGGCAGGGCCCAAAATCTTGGATGTGAACTGAAAGCAGGAGCTAATCCTGCTGTGACATTGTCTAGTGGAGTAGGAGTGACATCTCATGGAAAATGACTTGAGACAATTCTTCATGGCAAAAATACTTTAGCATGTCCCTCACTCCTGATCATGGAATTCTTGGTGCACTTTTCTATCGATCAATGAAGTCAGTACAGGGAATCAGAGAAAATGGTCAACAGAAGATGTGATTTGTGGGCAGAAATGATGAAAGACTTGTCACCTCTTTAATTTGCATATGCATCATGGTGTGAAAAACGTGTAGGTGAATTGTTTCTGTGGTCATGCATCCCACTGTAATCTTTAACCAATTATTTCCAGACTTCAACTACCTTTTCAGGTCTGAACAGCTGTGCTGAGTTCCTGGGACTAATTTGTGTTAGGTGGGCCTATGGTTACAATGCTCCATTCTCCTACTACCTTCTATTCTGGGCAGATGGTGAAAGCAGTGCAAAATTGCATGCAAGAGCTCTGTGCTGCTCCTGGTGCCTGCTTCACTTCATATGAGCTTCAGAGAGAATTATGTGCTGTGAAATCAATAGAGTCTCACTCTGAAAGCATCTTGTAGATGGGACTAGTGAGCTTCCCATTGGAGCTCTGGCTAAGAATGATTCCTTCCTGTGCCAAACTTGGACCACACAGTTTCCCCTTGCTGAGGCAAAATAATACCTCTGACCTTTAATATGAAGATTTCAGGACAGTTTCATATAAAACACTAATGAATTATACGAATACTCCCACTATAAAAAGAGTGATATTATCCACTCATTCTTTTATATAGATTCAAACCTTGAGATTAAATGACATTCCTGTCTCACTTTGAGAGCTGGGTACAGAACGTGTGAGACAAAAGTGTCAAGCCAGTCTTTTAACAGGAAGATTTTGCTGTAACCGGTTAATCTTGTATTTGTCAATCTGTTACATATTTCTTTTCCTTGACATCTTGCCCCTAATGCAGGGATTAAATTCAGGACCCATTCAGTTTTATGGTAAAAGTATCATCTGGGAGCAGAGAGCAGCAGCAAAAGGTTTAGGACTCCTTTCTGATTCTTTGTATCCTGAAGGCAGAGCTAGGCACAAGCAGTAAGCAGTTCATACGAGATGTCTGTTTTGCTGGGGAGGGTGAGGCTCCAGGGCAGACATGACATTGTCCTGCAGTGGGAAGATCACGGAAAAGTCAGCCTGGGTATTGGCAGGTGACAGGAGGTAGCTATCCAGAAGCAAGCAAGGTTCTGGACCTTGCACTGCTTTGCAAGAGATAGTGAACGGGGTGCTGTGCCCTGGCTGGGATGAACCGGCTGGAAGGGCATGCATGGGTTTGTGTCCTTCACTTTTCCTTTGATCTGAGCAGCACCACTGTTGCTCTGAGTGCTCCCAGCACAGTGACAGGAGCACTGTGCAACTCTACAGCTTTCTATCTGTATCAAAGCCAAGTCCAGTGCTTCCAGGGGTGCAGGTTAGCACCTCTTTCAGACCATATGCCTTGCTGTCCCTTTCATAAGTGATAAAAACACATCCATCCCAACTCTGGAGTGCAAAACATGCTAGTAAGGAATAGTCCTTATACTCAAGGGAGTACCTGGTATTTATATAGGAATGCCTTTTTTTCTTCCCCTATCTGGGCCTACTGGATATATTTTTACTGCCTAGAACTTCAGCCTCCTTACTGTCCTTCAAAACAGAATTTGAACCTGCTTTGAGGTATCCACGCACTTGCTTCAGCCTTGAGCCAGCATTTCAGAAGCAATGTGGATGGACATTTTAATGTGTCAGTATTTTCCTGCCTTCAAGAACTTTGGATCTGCAAAACTCCCGTCAAGAATATTGTATTCTGGAGAAGACAATTTTATCTCTCTCAGGATGAGAAAGACTTGGCTGCTTTTACTCCAGGAAAGGTAACTATGGCTGAAGGTATATACTCAACCATGTCTGACCTAGAAAATGCCAAAATGGTTGTGCATAGAGCCTTAGTGCTTTATAAACCTTGCTGTATAAGACACAGAAATATATTATTGGTCTTCTGTTGTCTCATCCTGAAAAATGTTCACCTGTTATGTTTTTGATGGGAGCCCATTGTAGACAGGGGAAGATGGAGAGGGAAATCAAGGAAAAAGGAATAAATTCTAGTTAGTAAAGGCTTTTGCCATGGCTTGTAAATTAAGTATTATGTAGCCCTATTCCTTCCATTTTATCCCGGGGGAAGAATTTTAGAAAACTCCTAGAAAACAACCTTTGTAGCTTTTCTCTTTCACAAATACAAAATGAATTACATAGAGAGACAGAAGTGATGGGAAAGACCTCTTCACATGCTTCTCTAAATAGGAGGAAAAATGCATTGCTTCAAACCCCAGGTTGCATCCATAGGCTCAGGGCATCCCTGTACAACATTCCTGAGGCTTACCTGCTATTGAGAGGCAGTGGTGCTACACAGAACTTGCCAACAACGGATGGCTCATCCTTGCTCCAAAAACGATTCTTGGGGATATACTTCAGGGTCACACTGTTTATCTGGCAGAGGGGAACTCGGTGGGCCAGCAGCTGTTTGCCTGTCTCCTGGTCCTCAGGTCTGCAAGGCAGGGTGAGAAACGTGAGGGATGTGTTCAGTCAACCTGCAAATACAGTCTACGTGCAGATCCATGGAAACAGTGGAGGAATCTGCAGCATTATTGTGAAGCCCTCACGTAATAAAATGGAGTGAGAAGACTCATCTGTCAAAACAAGCCATTGCTTGAGCATCTTACAGGCTGTCTCTCCATGTTTTACCTCTGTATTCAGGAATATTTCTGTATAAATATCCTTGCTTCCATCACCAACTCTTCTTACTGTTCCATATTGATCGAAACACTGCTCAGCTTGACACAGAGAGGTAAGCAGTAGATAAGTCAACATCTATGGAATGGTGAATGGCATGGATGGAGATCAGCTGTTCATCATTTCTTCCAGTACACAAACTGGGGTCCTCAAAGAGTGCTAAGAGGTGGCAGGCTCAAAAAGAATGCACACTGCACGAAGTACCAGTCCTTTCAAACTGCTGAAATCCTTGCTTTGAGATGTTGTAAATGCCAGGAAGCTTACATGACTGTACAAGTCAAGGGAGGGGGACTGAACAAGTTTATAGAATGCAAAAGCTAGTAAGGATAAAGATCTCATCTTTGGCTCTGAAAGTCCCTGAGACGTAACTAGACACAGGGAAACTCTTTGGGGAAGTATTGCTACATGCTTACACACAGATTTTTTTATAATCTTCTCTAGCTACTTGCTTTTGATCATGTTGAAGGTGGGATGCTTGGATAGAGGGACCTTTGTCCATCCCTATGCTCTTACCCAGGCAATGTGAACTGAGAAGTGATGGAGGTTTGGTAATGAGCCAATGACCAAAGTCCAGTGAGCTGTGTGCCACAGATCTGTGCTGCCCAGGTATTTTAAGTCATTTCTATGGAGTTCATCCAGTGGGCCTTACACTTGATCTTCTTGGCACCTCCTAGAGCATGGAGATCGTTGATTTCCTTGTGCTCATGAAGAATGATATATGTGCAGCTGGCTTGGCATGGTCCCAGTGATGCCTTAGGTTTTATCTTTTATATTTTTCAAATCCTCTGCTACTTAGTGTGTAACTCTGAAACTTCATATTAGGTGTTAGTGAGTTCTCTTCACAAGGTAGTAAGACAAAACAATCCCTTCCCAGATAGACAATCAAGGACAATCGGTACTCAAAAAGCATAAACAACAGCTAAGGGAACAGGGCAAGCCAGAGAGCTGATACTTCATAGCCTGGGGCTGTGGTTGGATAATAGACCCCAACATATAGATGAACCAAAACTTATAAAAGTGTAAAAACTCATGACCAGGATCCATCTGGGATTTGACTTGGGTATAGCCCCAGACAGGCTGTTGCATTGCCCAAGGTGTATCCTTCCAATAAATACCTATTTTATTCCTTTTGCTCTGCCTAGTCTCTGTTCCAAGTCAGCCTTTCCAGGCATCACCAGAACCACCTGGGTGACGGTTTCATCAGAAACTTGATGGCAGGGAAAGGGGAGAGGTGACAAAAGGGTCAGGAAGAGCCTACAGTTCTGCTAACTGAAGTAGCTCTCAGCCACGGGCTGTCAGCAGCATTCACAGCAGCACACCCAGTCTATCCCCTAGATTGCAGCAGTAGTTGCTGGGCTTTGTGTGTCTGTGTCTGTCTTGAAGCTGCTAAAAATAAGAAACATGGCAAAATTGCGCCTTCAAAAAAGTGAATAATGCATAGAAAATGGAGGCCATCTCTCTATGGCATATTGTCCATGGACAGAGGACCATGTTGAAAGAGCCACTCCTGGGACTAACACTTGGTCCAATCCTGAACAACCTGTGGATGGATTTAGGAGACTTGGCTAGCTTCAGAGGTATGTGTTCTTGGATATGGAGGATGATGTCATGTGGTGTGTAAGCACATAGCAGTGCAGCTGGGAAGTGTCCTGTGTAACAAACTCCTCACTCATGAGGCCTGTGTCAGCGACTGAAGCTTGGGGACATGTCTCTTTGGGGCATTCGGAGCAACTTGTGGAGAGGAGTGAGATTGGAATGGATATTTGGGAGAGGAGACGAGAAGGGCAGTGTGAGACAAGACACAACCATGTGAGTCCTTTGCTGAAGGTCTGAGACTAGCTGAACACTCCCAAGTTAGTCCCTCTGCACTTCTGGGAAACTGCAGGACAGATCATCTGAGATAAGTCACTGATCTATTGGTGTCTGAAGTGTGATGTGAGGATCTATGTTTAGATGCCCATTTGATACTCTGAGCTTGACTTCACTGGAAGGCCGAGCTTTGCCTAGAGCAGGAAAATTTGCCCTTTGCTACTAGCGAGAAATAAAAGGGATATCTTCAATTTTATACTCTCAAATCTGTAGGTTTATTGGTATAAGCAAATTTTTCAGTTAAGCCTTGTGCTTCTAAGAAAGGCATTTAAAAGCAGCCCAGCAGGGCATCTCTGGATAGGTTAGCCTGCTCTAACTCCACTGTCTCATTAAAACCAGAGGGTACAGCAAAGCCTTGGGATTGCCCGCCTGGCTCACTTCCCCGGGCAGCCTTTCCCTCTAGGGCTCATACGCCCCCTGCTGGACTCCCACCAAACCTAGTGTCCGGCAACTGCCAATGGGAGGGCCGCACGAGTCCTGGTCTGACCTGGGTATTACTATTTCTTCCCTCCTGCATCTGTGGAAAAGCCAGATTTGGCCAGGAGGAGTTGATCAGACTGAGCTCCACCGGGCTGGAGTACAAATCCAGATTGTGGTGCCTGGCTGAAAATCTGTGACCAAGCATCTGTGTCACTCTGGAGAGTACCCTAGAGTGTGGCTTTCCCTTCCCCATTTCTCCCCCCTACCTACTAGTGCCCACGACTTAATCAGCAACACAATTAGCTGCAGGTCACAATATTTTGGCTTAACAGTAAGGACTGTGTGGGAGCCAGCACTGGAACCTCTGTGATCCCAGGAGAGCTGCCTGGGACTCTTTAGCAGGCTAGTTTCCTGCTTCCTGAGGCAGCCAGCAGCATGTGCTAGCTGCATTGTGGTTCCCAGTCGAGAGAAATAGCCAAGAAGTAGGAAGAAGTGAGGAAGACTCTGGGGAACTTTTTGTGGTGGGGAGATCCCCTGGTGGCAAGAGCTGTGGAAGCTGTGGAGTCTGATCTTTTAATTCAGACAGTCTGGCGGAGGGTGGTGCTTTCAAGAGACGTCTTTCTGTCTACACAGTGGATCTTGGTCCCCTGCCCCTTGCTTTTGCCTACAATGGGAGTGAGAGCATTGCTGCGTTACTGCAGAGGCAACAAGCTACTAACACATTTCTGACTATGCTGAGGTGCACTTGTCTCCCCTTTGCAACTGCTGTCTTCTTGGGCATCAAGAGAAATTGTCTAAGCCACCAAGTCCATCTGTCTGCAGCCTCTGGTGGATTGGGGTTTTCCTGTAAGACACCCCTGCCTGCCAGTGACTGCAGTTTAAAGTAGCACCCTGCCAGGGTATGGTGTGAAAAAGGAACCAGCATAGCCACACAAAAGTATGCAAATCTGGGGCTTCCAGGGTGTTCCTACTGCTCTGTGCACTTGGGAAAGACATGGACCCAGTCAGGGTTACTGACTAATGGTAGCACATGCCTGATTCTTGAGGGCATTTAGGGAAAATGGAACGACTCAAGAAACAAAGTTGTGATTCATCACTCAGGGAGCTGTTGTTGTCCTTTTCCTGGACTGGGATAAACATCCTTACTCATGGAGCTGGGAAAAAACAGGCCAGAAACATGCACTGTAACTCACATGGTGATCTTGGCTGTGTCCTTGGTGCTGTTACTGCTGAAACTGATCTCAATGCTGGTGACTCTGTTTCTTTTCTTCCACAAATGAAACTCAACCAGGCTGTGGTAGACTGAGCAAGAAGCAAAGAATGTGGGAGTGAGGACATGTACTATCTGTAGGACCTACCCATAACAAAAGAGGGGCTTTAGCACTCAATTCCCTGCCCCACCAGCAGAAAAGATTAAACAGACATAAGAAAGAATCAAGTCTCTGTGCTATGTGAGGCAAAGGGGGCATGTCTGTATAGCCCAGTGTGAACAGGCATTTTCAATCTCTTTTACTTCAGCCCTGAAACCATGTGGCTGTGTTAGTTCAGGGCTATGCCCACACTAACAAATCTGTTGGAAAAGGCTTTATGGAGGAGATGTGCAGGGTTACTGCTCTTCAGTGGTGTGTCTCAGACCCCATGGCCCACAGCAGCTGACTCTGATGGGGTAGCACAATGTAACTACCTAGGCTCCTCAGAGGACCTGCCTCATTGGCCAACACCCTTCAGACTCCTTTTTCTCTCATGCTACTTACCACAGAATGGGGCTGAAGGACCAGTCATTAAAAAAACTTTCACTTCCGGCGGCAGCCTGCTCACGTTGACACCTGCCTGCTCCAGCAGGCCTGCAGGAGGAAATAAAGTCAGTGCAGGGAAAGCCATGAATGACAGAACAGAAATATAATCAGTCACCCTCTTTCACCCTGCCTGACTCCCCTGTCTTGGAGAACAGGTCCCTTTCTTATACTAGTGCAAATCAGAGCAAGTACAAGTTTGTGGTGTCTGTTTGACAGGTAAACATTCCCTCAGAAAACCTCCTCTGGCTACCCCAGGAAATCATCACCAGAGAACTTCTTGGTGGCTTTCTTTTTATTCCTCTGCTAACAAACTGTGCTATCCGTTGCATCTGTGCAAAATGAGTGAGAGGAATGCCGAATTTGTCTTTACAAACGAGCTGTGGATGTGCTTGTAGATAAGGCTAGCACTGAGAGATAAAAGAAAGAATGGGATGGATTCCAGTGATTGATGAATGGAAAGAGATATTTGCCTTTACAAACAAAGTGTAGGGTTGCTGATAAATGACATTGGACATAGAAAGATGAAGGAAGCAATGGGGAAAAAACTATGAATTCTATAAGAATTAAAAATTAAAAGAGAGGGTTATACATTAGAGGGGAATTTCAGGTATCAGGCGTTCCGGGAAGTCTGTGCCTCTCAAGCACCTCAGCCAATGGGGAAAGAGAGAGGGAAATGCGGCCGGGAAAATAAGGTAAAAAAAGAGGCTGCTTCCTCCAAAAATTTGAGACATCCCAGGGGAATGTCCCATGGCCTCTCCCTTTATTCGAATAAAGCAAAAAGGACTCCTCTGTCTCCTTTTTGGACATAAACCTCTTGTGTTTGTGGATTAATTTTCCTGACATGAGCAAGACTAAAGACTACCAAGTCAGGAAACTTAGTGCAGATGTAAATGACAGTGCAAACACAAGGGAAATTTAATTCCTTGGTCAAATGAGGAAACCACCATAACTCACAGCCTGCATTGTTCAATAGCTGGCAAAATGATTTGGTGAGATGGGGAAGAGGTGGCTGATCTGAAACAACCTACACCAAAAAAGGCCTCTCTTTATGTTCTTCTGGTACCATACTACAAATAGTAGCAGAAGACTTTCCTCATGCCACAGCCCAGTTTCAGAAGCCAAAAAGAGGCATCTATTACCTTCTCTCAGTCTAAAGAGTTCATCTTTGAGGTGAACATGGCAGAAGTTGATGAGAAGGAGGTGACTCAGCAACACTGAGTGGTGTAGAAGAATGGGACTTCAGGCTTGAACTAAAATTTCCAGCTGCTTCTTTAAACAAGACATTTTTTGGAGCTGATTGCCTACTGATTCTGGCAGGTGATTCTGGAAACTCTCTTTCAACACATATCTAGGCCCTAGGAAATGTTTGAAGATCAGAAATGTTGAAGATTTTGCTGTTCTACCTTGGACAAGATATGAGCTTTTATAATGTATCTATAGAAGCCTGAAAACGAAATAGCTTCTCACTCTTCCCAAACAGATTCAAAGCAAATACTTCTCGGAGAAATCTGTGCTTTGCACTGACACCATCAGGAATGTATTGTCATCCTCTCCAGGAAGGACTCATACTGGTACTGTACCTATTCTGGGACAGGAGGACAGGAAGGGTTCTGCACAGTCCAGGCAATGACCATTTAGAAAATCTTGATGGTTTGCACAGGGGAACCCCACGATGGGACAGGGATGGTTCAAGGCACTGATGTAGAGATGTACTGCCCGCATGTGATCACAGATCAGAAAGTTATAGCCTGCAAGAAAAGAAACAACCAGAAAAAATGAGTCTTCCTGTTGGCTTCAGGCTTTTTGTTCATTCCCAAGGAACTGAGAGTGAAGGAACACTCTTACTGCAGTGATCACCTTCTCATTAATAACATTTTCCAGGGCATTTCTGTGGCTACAAGCCCAGATCCCACTGCAAGAAAAGTTCTGCACGAAGTTAGAAGTGTATCTATCTCTCAGACTAAGTCCCTTATAAGAGGGACCACAGGACTATCATATATTTGTCAGTGTCCCATCAGCCAGGCCATCAATCAAGCTCTCTGTAAGGGGGTGCAGCAGCTTTGACTCCCACCTGCACTGAAACCGCAGCTATGGGAAATGAGGTACCGTAGGTATCCCAGGTAAGATGACAAAGCTGTTGACTCATGCAGGACATATTTGAATGTTAATAAGCCCTCACTGTTTCCTGTGGAAAGTTCTCTTCTCTAGAAGAAAAGGACAGTAATTGCATGAACTGTCTCTCTAAGTAGACACAACTCCCAGCATGAAAACAAAAAGCAGCTTTTGTTAGTGCTACCTAACAGCCTTTCTAGCAAAGTGTCATCTCTACTGAAGCTAGGGTTTTGTGTCACAGAGAAACATCACCAAAATCGCATCTCTTGACAGTGGTGCTTCCAAGACTCTTGATAAGTATATGATTTTAAATTCACCTGCTTCTTGTACTGCTGAGAACAGACGTGGGCTGTGAATATGTTTGTCTCATTTTCTGACTGCCCTGGCTGTAGCAAGAGCTACTTGCCAAACAGCATTTTCAAATGGCCATGAGAGTGCTCGTGCTTGGCCAGTGAGTGTTCTTACCTGCAGAGAAGAATCGGGGGCATCCTGGCTGATCTTTGCCTCCATTGACAAAATAATCGATGTGGCCTACTGGAATCCGGATCCCGAAATCTGAAAGGAGGTGAAATGCCACTTCATTCTCAGACTTGGCTCTTTTGTAGGCTTGACCCTACATGTTGATGACAGGTCCCAATAATTGGTTGAGTATTAGTAGTACTGGAGCCAGCCCTAATGCTGGAGACATCAAGGTCGTATTTCCTGCTTCTACATGTGCAGATTTGATGCATGGAGCAGAAAATGTTCCATGCCCTGCCATCAAAATTACTGGAAACTGTGTCTTACGTCCTCAGTGACTCTGGTTCTTGATTCTATGTAAAGGAGAAACTAAACTGACCACAGCCTTAATGTAGGATTATGAAGGATAATTGAGAGTCATGTTGGTAGAGGTTTTCAGGGTCTCCAGGTGAAAGGTGTGACTCAAATGCACCACATTACTCTTCAGCCCATGTTCTGCCTATGTAGATCCTCAGTGATTTAGAGAAGTTACTCTGTTGCACCAGCTGTTGGTTTGACTCTGTTACTTTCCGACAGCACTCTTGGTGGCACCTTTCTTACATCAGGTGGGTAAAAACTGAGTCTAGACCTATAAATTCCCTTCAGGCAGTAAAATTCATGCCAAGCTGGTTCTGCATAAACTCACTCTGCTGTAGCAATCTCCACCTGTGTTGCTTGAAGTGCTCTGGGGTATGAATTCATCATCAAAGCCTTTCTTAACAAGAAACTTCCTCAGAGTGAGCTTGAACTCATGGTAGTCTGGCAAAAAAGGACAACGACCTCCAGACTGCTTAGCAACAATGATGTCAGGAGGAACAGAAGCACAGGCTGAGGAAGAGGGAAGCCAGCTTACTGTCAGCATCAGTATGAATAGCTTCCACGAAGAGGGCATCCCCAGGATCCAGGCGCTCTTCGGGGCTGGCTCTGGTGTACTTAGGGCCTGCAGGATCCAGGGCTGTAACAAAATCAAACACCTCAACAACAGGTACTCTTCAGCCCCTCTCTTTCTTATTTCTGGACCAGTTATTTTATCTATATCTTTACAATAGTGCGAGGCAGAAATAAAAAATTATTCCCAGGTCTCAGTAATTAAGCTCCAGAATAGTTTCTGCCAGAGCCAACTTCCACTACAGCTTCCTTGTATTGTCCTCGCTGTTCCACACCCTTTTAGCAGTGTTTTAACTCAAGGTTCTAGGCTGTAAAGCCATGACTGAACTTTAAATAGCTCTGACAGAGTAAGTGCATAGTGTCTCTTGGCGTTTTGGTGAAAGAGAATCAAACTTTTTAATGCCTTCCCAATATTGTCGAGTCTACTAGCACTACAGTCTGAGAAATGTCACTGGAGATCTGCAGTTAGGTGGTGAATTCAGCACCCCAGGCATTAACCAACTTAGGAATTACAAAAGTTTCATATTACCTAATAATTTTAAAACAAAGAGGCTTCTGAGCCCTTTCCCCACAAATAAAATGGAGTCTTTAGCAACCATCTACATTTTTGCCTAAAACTTGCTCCTAGAGCAACTACTTTGGATTCAAAGGAACACAGAAAAGTATCCTTGAAGTATACCAAGAAGCAGATTAAAAAAAAAAATAAATCTGAGGTTTATCCTGTTCTTGTTTTATAGGAAAGTAACCTCACAAGACTTTTTTTCACTCCCTAGGCAACAATAGTTTAAGAAGCAGGTCTGCTCCACATGCCACTTAACCTCAGAGCTGGCTGGTTTCACAGCTTTGGACTCAGTCTCATTAATTCTCTATGGAGAAGGCAATATCAACAATATACAAATGGGCATGTCTGCATTTATGAGGGGAAAGGGAAGGAGGAAAAGGACGAAAAAACTTTCTTTCCTGTTCTTTCTGTAAATAAAAACTAAAAATAAGACTTTAATGCTCTTTAATCTTGATATGTACAAAAAGCTGAGAGGTTCCCCACCTACTTCTACAGTACAAGTTGTAGTTAAAACCTTTAAAAGATACTGAAAATTGTTATTTAGTGTGGCATGAGGTTCTTAATGAGGAGGCAGAAACCTAATATGAACAGCAGTCAATTCTAGCACAGCTCCAAGGCAAGCACATTTCTATCCTCTCTCCTCTACCCCTTCCTTCTCCAAGCACAAGCTGCATAAACTCCATTGAGATGTACATCTTTGCTAAGGAAGCATGCAAATTAATTCCTTCAAGCATTTTCATTTCCTTTGCAAGTATTGAAACAAAATGTTCTTTTCTAAGTTTGGTAAGTGCTGTTCATTCCTGCAGTTTATTTCCTGCACAGGGAGATATCCACTGGAACAGGATTAAAGAAACGGATTAAAGTAACTCACTTTGGAAAAATAAAGTCTGTGCTCTGATATCCAAGACTCCCTCTAGTTTTGCTCCACAGAGCTCTTAGGTGATTTAAAACACTTCAGCAAATTGTGGCTCTGGGATCAAATTCCTGTGCGAGTGTACGCATGTGTGTGAGGAGGCATGAGATGAGATCAGGCATATCTTGGGTCTAACCTAACCTGTATTCAGGCTCCTAAATCTGAACTGGAATCTGCAATGACCAGTACGCCTATGAAATCATAGGATAAACAAGAATGTAGAAAAGGGATTGTATTCTATCAGAGTTAAAAATGGAATAAATAACTCTACAGAGCTTCTGTTACATGTGGACAAGATGAACGGGAAGAGTGTTTAACTGTGAAGTTAATTACCATGGTTTCATGGAAATGTGTCTGCTTCTGCTCATCTGAAGACATCACTGATCATGAAATTAGGGTGCAGGACAGAGGCTACTCCAGTTTTCTCCTAATGTAAACTTTGATTCACAGCTTTAACAAGGGCTCAACATGAAATTCACCTCCTCTTAAGAAATGCCTGTATTTCATGCAGCATGGGTAGATGTGAAAACGGAACCAACTTTTCTCTGGACAGCCTTGCCAAGAGTGCAGTGAGACCTCCCACTGAGGATACCTCTATGAGACAGCCCAGCATGGGCTGAGGCAGACTGAGAGCTGAGGCCACACTACTGGAGACTTTATGTCTGTTCCTTCTTAGTGGCATTCCCCTCCTATCAAAATGAATCTCTACTGTTGGGGATTCCCAGAATTTAGTGAAATCATTGACAATCTGATATGACATACAATGCAGCCCTATTTTGAGGAGGGGTGATGGTGGTGGTGTGTGTACTAGAAACCTTCCAAAGTTTCTTCTTACCTAAATGATTCTGTGACTTTATTCATGCTCCACACCTAAAGGCTGGACAAGTCCTGAGTGCACCAAAAACTCAAAATGACAGGATCAGCCTATTACCATTTTGCTTTGCAATTCCCTCAGTGGAGCATCTTTCTCACACCCCAGAGTCTGGCTGTGTTTAAGGTCAGCTCTGATTTGGTACAGTTGAGTAGCATTAAGCCATCTTACTGTGAAAACAGACAGCTTGTGGGAGGTAAGAGCAAGGAGACTCATCTGGGTCCTCCCAACGCTGGCTCAGGCTCTTACCTTTGTTCCTTGCCTGAGCTGTGTGGTAGGGATGCCACGCCCTGACCTTTGCCTTGTTGGGCCTTCTTGGTCCTGACTTGACTTCCTAGCTTGATCTCGGGCTTGCCTTAGCACTACAAACTTGCCTGGTGATCACTGGAGTGTGGATGACCCTGGTTCCTGTCACTGGACCTGCTCTGCTCGTCTTGCCCAGACACAGTAGAACTGTACTCCCTGTCTGTGAGGCCACTGCCCACCTTACTGTCCCCTTGGCCATTAGCTCACATTTTCTTGCCGAGCAGCTCACTCCTGCTGCTCCCCCCACAATTGCATTGTGGGCTTTAATTCTGAGAACCACATGTACGTACTATAATTTGGAAGCAAAGCTTCTAGGTGTTGTGGGTTTCCACTAGTCGTGAGGGCTCTTACTTTGCTAAGATGGCACCAATTTGAAGAGTGTAGCAGAGCTGGAAGGACCTTTTTGCAAATACTTGTGTTCTTTTGGCAGCATGGAGGGGACTGATGTCGGAAAGGTGCTGTCAAAATTTAGGAAGAAACCCATAAGCTTGGATCCACTGAGCCCTTACAAAATTGAAAGACCACTCTGAATGACTCCCCTTTTTTCTCTTCCATTTTCTCTCTTGAAGGACAGGTGAGGACCCCAGACTCAGTTTGATGATACCTGTTATCTGTCCCAGGCGACCACCATGGAAGTGCCCCACCAGGCCCCCAACGTGTGCTCCAAGGCTTACCCCAATGATGTGGATAGATGTCCCTGAGACTCCCAGGGCCTGCAGGGTGACAATAATACAAATTATTGTTTCTGTAGCAGAAAGGTGAAATACCCTGTCCCAGCCCACAAAGCAGCTCTATAACTCTCTTAATATAGGATTGCTTTTGATGTGTACAGTGGAAAACCAAATACTTAAGGAAATGATGGGTATTGCCCTTTCTGCTTTTCCGAGCCTTTCTTTGGGTCCACAGGTGCAAATCCAGCCCTAAACAGGTTGGTCAGCACTGAAAACATTTAATGGAGTTTACATGTGGCTGGTTAACAAAAGGATTCATCACTCTGATTGCAGAAGTCTTGTTCAGCTGTGCTTTGCATGAACAGAATGGCACACATCTGGGTATTTCCAAATGCTGAGGAGTATATCTGAAGCCCAGAGCAAATTTAATATAGCCTCAAATCTCCCTCCCTCCAGCTTCCTGGACAACATTTCTCAGCAGAAGAAGAAGACTGTCCAGTGAATATGGATCTGAGAAAACCCAAGGCAGGTTTTAGGTTTGTTCTGAACTGGAGAGGCAGCTGACAACTGGATTTTTTCCCAGAAAATGTCAAAACTCAAAAGGAAGAAGAAAAATGGTGGCATGCTCAAGCCTGGATTGAAAGTGGGAAAAAGGAAAAATCTGGAATAAAAAATCCACTTGTGCAACTCTGGATACAGCAGGTTGGGAGCAGCTCCCTGGACATACTCCCTGCACTGGAAATGCACAATGGCTTACCAGGAGCTTGCTGATGAACTGTGAGATGGCGAGGGCCAGCTGTGTGACATTTTCCACTGCAGAGGGATAGGCTCCTGTAGACCCATAAACCCAGTCTACTGCGATCACATTCACCTGGCTGGTGTGAAGTATGGCCTGGACAAGCCCTTCAATCCAGGAAGGTTTGGTACCCAAAGCCCTGTGGACTCACCAGAGACAAGGATGTTAGGTGTTCCCCAAGCAGGGCATGTGCCACTGTGTTGTTCACTGGTGCTGGAGCTTCACATATCTCAGAGGAGGCTGCCAGACAGTGGCTGAAAGTTATTTTTGGTACCAGACACCCACACCTGGAAATTTTTTTTGCAGTGGTGTAATAACACTTTCCAGAATGCTCTGATTCAGGAGGGAACCAGATATTTTAGTGAATGAGATAACATTTGCAGGGCTCAGACTGAGATTTCTCTCTATGATGTTTCATTAAGCCACCACAGAGCCCACCTGTGACTGGGGTAACTGGGACACCTGGATCCTTCTCTGCTGCCACTGGCTGGAAGTCCTTGGCCACATCACCTAGTCTTTCACTGCTACATTTTCTCATCTCTAGACAATCAGAAAAAATAACCTATACCAAAGAATTCCAGGAAAACCAAGGAGGCTCTGTTCTACCCAGCTTCCCTAGTGCCATCTGGTGAAGAGTGTGCTATCTTGCTTGAAGGCAACAGATGGTTTTCTGAGAAGACCCTGCAATATCTGCTGTGGTTTCATCCTGGTTTTCTATGCTCTTTCTATTCAGGCTTTTGCACTTCAAAACAAATAATATTATATGGTCATACCTGACTGAAAAATGGCACAGAAGCTTGCAGAATGATGTAAGTTTTTTAAAAAACTCAGCTCCAATCCCAACACTTTCAAGAACAGAAGGATAATCTGTCTGCTTGGGGTTCTAAATAGCTAATTAATCCGAGCTATTGGGCATGAAATCCAAGCAGACAATTTGAAGGGACAAGAATCTTAAAGACAAGACTTCTTAACTAAAAATGTTGATAAAAGGAA